TGTGTATTTGGGTCTATGAGTGTCATCTCGACAATTTTTTTACGGGTCCAAAAAAATCCAAAATTGAAGGCTATAATCTAAGATTTTGTACGAATTTTTTATTTTTTTTTCCAAAAATGAACAGAATGTGTAGGGTGCCCCTAAAGGTTATATAAATTAGTTTGGAACCATACTAAACCTACAAAGATCTATATAGCCCCCAAGAATGAGTTTAGTTTGATTCAATCATATTAGGAAAGAGAAAGGTAGTTAAATTATTAGTCAAAAGGCAATAAGATGGACCAAATAGTATCCCGCACTAACACAGGTTTCATGGGAAACACCATGACCTCTTTCCTTTTTGAACTTGGAAAAGTAAAAAAATTAACCAAAATTGAAGGCTATAATACACAAAATCGAACCAATTTTGGAGGCTATAAGTCCCGATGTCAAAATATCTTCAGATAATAGGAAATACATTTCAAGTTTATATAATGTCATTTGTTACCATATATGATCATTACATGTTGTCAAAAATTCCCTCGGTGGCCTTTGAGTAAATGATAAAGGCATAAGATGTTGATGTCCATAATTGACTATTAAAGGCTAAGTGGATTGTTTCCCCCACCAATATGGACCACTAGAGTGTATTTGGGTCTATGGATATCATCTCAACAATTTTTCTTTTTCATGGGTCCAAAAGAGTCAAAAATTGTCCATAATTGAAGACTATAATCCATGATTTCGAGCTAATTTTAGATTTTTTTTTACAAAAAGAAATGGAATGTATAGGGTGTCCCTAGAGGTTATATAAGTTAATTTGGAATCATAAGACACTTAAAAAGATGTCTATAAAGCAAAAATTGAAAGCCATAACACACGAAATTGAAGCAATTTAGGAGGTCACTGTCTTTCTATCAAAAAATCTCGAGATAATAGATGATACATTCCTAAGGTTATATAATGTCGATAGTTACCGTACATGATCATTATACGATGTCGTAAATGTCAATGGTGGCCTTGAGTTAATGAAAAAGGCGTAATAAGTTGATGTCACTAATTGACAATTAAATGCAAAGTAAATGGTTCCACCCACCCAAATAAACCCCCGTAGTGTATTTTGGCCTATGGGTACCATCACGACAATTTTTTTTTACTCCAAAAAAGTCCAAAATTGAAGGCTATAATCCACGATTTGGAGCGAATTTTAGATTTTTTTCTAAAAATAAACGGAATGTGTGGGGTGCCCCTTAAGGTTATATAAGTTAGGTTGAAACCATAAGATACCTACAAATATGTCTATATAGCCCCAAGAATGAGTTTAAGTTGATTCAATCATACTAAGAGAGTGAAAGCTAGCTAAATTATTGGTTAAAAAGCAATAAGATATACCCAAAATAGTTTCCTGGGGTAACATAGGGTCCACAAAAAACACCATGACCTTTTTTCCTTTTTTGACCCGGAAAAGTAAAAATATTATCCAAAATTAAAGGCTACAATACCCGAAATCGAAGCAATTTTGGAGGTAATGGGTCCCAATGTCAAAAAATCTTCAAAAAAATAGGGGATACATCCCAAGGCTATATAATAAAGGTTGTTACCTTATATGATCCTAACATGTCGTCATAAATGTCCAAGGTGGCCTTTGAGTTAACGAAAAAGGCGTAAGATGTTGAAGTCACTAATTGACAATTTTAGGCAAAGTGGAAGGTTCCACCCACCAAAATGGACCCCCGAAGTGTATTTAGGCATATGGGGCTATGGGTATCATCTCGACAATTTTTTAATGGGTCCAAATAAGTAAAAAATCGTCTTAGATTTGTTTTTTCCAAAAATTAACGGAATGTGTGGGGTACCCCTGGAGGTTATATAAGTTAGTTTGGAAGCATAAGACACCTATAATGATGTATATAGAGCCCTAAAAATGAGTTTAGTTTGATACAATCATATTAGGAGAGTGAATACGAGCTAAATTATTGGTTAATAGAGAATAAGAATATAAGATGGACCCAAATAGTTTCCTAAGGTAACATAAGGTTTATGGTAACACCATAACCTTTTTCCTCCCAAACATGGAAAAATAAAATTAAAAAAAAAAATAGCCAAAATTGAAGGCTATAACACACAAAATTGAAGCAATTTAGGAGGTTATGAGTCCTGGTGTTAGAAAAGGTGATAGAGGATTCATCCAAAGGTAATATAATGTCATTTGTTACAGTATATAATCATTACATGTTGTCATAAATGTCAATGGTGGCCTTAAGTTAAAGCAAAAGGCATAAGATGTAGATGTCTCTAATGACAATTTTATGCAAAGTAAATGGTTCCACCCACCCAAATAGATCCCCGTAGTGTATTTTGGCATATGAATATCATCTCGACAATTTGTTTACAGGTAAAAAAAAGTCCAAAATTGAAGGCTATAATCCACGATTTGGAGCGAATTTTAGATTTATTTTTTCTGAAAATGAACGGAATGTGTGGGGGTGCCCCTTGAGGTTATACAAGTTAGTTTGGAATACGACACCTACAAATATGTCTATATAGCCACAAGAATGAGTTTTAAGTTGACTCAAATCACTCAATCATATTAAGAGAGTGAAAGTTAGCTAAATTATTGGTTAAAAGGCAATAAGACAGACCAAAATAGTTTCTTGGGGTAACATAGGGTCTATAGGAAACACCATGACCTCTTTCCTTTTCAGACCTAGAAAAGTAAAAAATTATCCAAAATTAAAGGTTATAATACACGAAATCGAAGCAATATTAGAGGTTTAGGTCCCGATGTCAAAAAATCCTGAGATAATAGGGGATACATCCCAATGCTATATAATATCGTTCATTATCGTATATGATCATTACATGTTATCATATATGTCCATGGTGGCCTTTAGTTAATGAAAAAGGCGTAACATGTTGATGTCTCTAATTGACAATTAAATGCAAAGTGGATGGTTCACTCACCCAAATGGACCACCTAGGTGTATGTATTTGGGTCTATGGGTATAATCTCGACAATGAGTTTTGCAGGTCCAAAAAAGTCAAAAATTGTCTGAAATTGAAGGCTTTAAGCCCATAATCCACTATTTCGAGCTAATTTTAGATTATTTTTTTCCAAAAAAGAACGGAATACATGGGGTGCCCCTTTAGGTTATATAAGTTAGTTTGGAACCATAAGACACCAATAAACTATAGAACTCTAAGAATGAGTTTAGTTTAATTTCATCATATTAGGAGAGTGAAGACTAGCTAAATTATTTGTTAAAAGGCAATAACATAAACCCAAATGGTTTCCTAGGGTATCATAGGGTCCATGGAAAACACCATGACCTCTTTCCTTCGAAACCCTAGAAAATAAAAAAATAAAAAAAAAATAGCCTAAATTGAAGGCCATAACACACGAAATTGAAGCAACTTAAGAGGCTACTTGTATAAAAAAATCTCGAGATAATATGAGACACATCCCAAGGTTATATAATATCGTTTGTTACCGTATATGATCATTATATGTTATCATAAATGTCAATGGTGGCCTTGAGTTAATGAAAAAGCATAAGATGTTGATGCCTCTAATTAACAATTAAAGGCAAAGTAGATGGATCCACCTACCTAAATAGACCCCCGTATTGTATTTGGGTATATGGGTATCATCTCGAACAATTTTTTTTACATGACCAAAAAAATCGAAAATTGTCTAAAATTGAAAGCTATAATCCACGATTTCGAGCGAATTTTAGATTTTCTTCCAAAAATGAACAGAATGTGTGGGGTGCCTATTGAGGTTATTTAAGTTGGTTTGGAACCATAAGACACCTACAAATATGTCTATTTAACCCCAAGAATGAGTTTAATTTGATTCAATCATATTAAGAGAGTGAAAGTGAGCTAAATTATTAGTTAAAAGGCAATAAGATGGACCCAAATTGTTTCCAAGGGTAACATAGGGTCCATGGGAAATACCATGACCTCTTTCCTTTTTGGATCCGAAAAAGTAAAAATTATCCAAAATTGAAGACTATAATACACGAAATCGAAGCAATTTTGGAGGTTTGGGTCCCGGTGTCAAAAAATCTTGAGATTATTGGGGATACATCAAGGCTGTATAATGTCGTTTGTTACCGTATAAGATCATTACATGTTATCATGAATGTCCATGGTGGCCATGAGTTAATGAAAGAGGCGTAACTTTTTAATGTCTAATTGACAATTAAAGGCAAAGTGGATGGTTCCACCCACCCAAATGGACCCCCCGGAGTGTATTTAGGTCTATGGGAATTATATTGGCAAATTTTCTTTTCAGGTCCTAAAAAGTCGACTATTGTCGAAAATTGAAGGCTATACAGGCATACAACCTATACTCCGCGATTTTAGGCCAAATTTTGGAATTTTTTCCAATAATGAACTCATATGCGTGGGGTGACCTTTCGTGGTCATATAATCTAATTTGGAACCATAAGACACCTGTAAAGATGTCTATACAACCCAAAGAATGAGTTTAGTTTGATTCAATTACATTTGGCGAAGCAAAATCATTGGTTGAAAGGCAATAAGATGGACCCAAATAGGCTCCCATGGTACTCAAAATTTGATCTCTAACCATCTTAGAATTAAAAAAAAACTCAAAACTTGAATATTTTTTATTATATAGACTATAATACACATGGAACAATTTAGGGAATTTTCCAAAACAAAGGTAAATGTGGAGGATGCATCATAGGACCAGAAATCTTGGTTTGGAATAATTAAGGACCCATAGAGGTAAAGGAGAAAAGACCAATAGTAGGCATGTTTGAAAACCGACAAATTAGGGTTTGTTTGGCATTGTTGTGGTTTCTGTTTTTTGGTTTTTTGTTGTATAAAAGTATATGATATATGTTACATAATGAATCAAAAATTATTATAACTTATTAAAATCATAATTATTTTGAAAACTGACAACAAAAAAGTGGAAACACATTTTTCTTGTTTCCTGTTTTTGGTTTTTAGTTTTAAAATAAAAAATAAAAAAAAAAACAGGAAACTAAAAACCAAAAATGATGCCAAACAAGCCCTTAGATAGTTAAGAAAGAAGAAATATAGAAGATTCAAACTAATGGTCATTTGGGGTTTCAAGGGGTCTATGGGAATTATCTCAACCTCTAACCTTTTGACTTTTTGAGTGCGAAGAGCAATTTAAAGAAAATTTTCCGAAATTCCAGGAACATAATAAGATGTGATAGATATATTTTGCTATCATAAATATTGGTTTTGAACAATTATGGACTAACGAGGGAAAGTTGTATAGGCCTTTGGGAAGCCTATTCTAAACTGGCTATATTAATTGTTCATAACAAAGGTAGATGGTTCCAACATTCCAAATGACTAGCATCTCAACCTCCAACCCTTATAAGACCTCTTGGCTCTTGCTCAAGGGATCCCACGGGTAGCATTAAAAAAAAGTTCCAATAATGAAAGTTGTTATACATTATTTTGAAACAGTTTAGGTAAAATTTTCAATAATTTAGGTAAGGGTGGGGAATATTTTGGGGCGTATATGTGGGTTTGAATTTTGGAATCATAATGGACCATAGAGGTAAAGTAAAAAAGATCTAGGGGAGACGTGTTCTAAAACCAACAAAGTTGAAAGTTAAAAAAGAAAAATAAATAAATCCAACCATCTAAGTCGGGGTCCCAAGGTAGCATCTCGACCTTCTACCTTGTTTGAAAAAGTTAAGTGTTTAGGAAGGCACATGAGTAGATGTGGGAATTTCGAGCAATTTTGGAAAACTAAAGTAGATGGGCATAAACATTGGTTTGGAACCATAATGTAATGTAAGAAAGACCAACGGGAGGTGTGTTAAAAAATGACTAAATTGATGATAATGAAATAAAGTAAACAGTTTTCCTAAAAAAAGAAAAGTAAACAGTTTAACCATTCAAATATGACCTCCCGGATTTTCACAGGGCTCATGAGAAACATATTGACCACCAACAAAAACAAATTTCCGGAAAGTCAAAAATATTGTAATTATGAAGGCTAATACACAATTTTGGAGCAAACCATTTTTTATTACACATTTTTTTTATTTTTAATTTTATTTTTTTTAATTAATTAGGCATTAGTAGGAGCGACAGAGGCATGTCTAAAAACATGCTAAATTGTTAGTTAAGAAGCAAAAAATATGTTTCCAACAATGCAACTACACAATTGGCATCCTAGGGTCCCATGGTGTCCATTAAAAGCATCCCAATCTTCAACCTTCATAATTCAAAATGTTCCAACTATGAATATGGGGGATGTCTGCCGGGGCCATAAATATTATTTTGGATCAATAAAGGACTGGAGAGGGAGAGGTCAAGCAACATACCTTTGTAAGTAAGAGCATTTGGAGACTTGCCATTTTTTGTCATTTTCTGAAACAGCTCGTAAACTAGGTCATACTTTGAAGAGTGTAGCATCACCTAGCAAAGAGACATCAGCAAAGCTTGAGCAACGTAATTTGACAATAACGAAGCATAAACAAGATACAAAGAAACAAGAAGAGAGTTCTATACCTCCATTGCAAGTCCATACGTAGCACTATTGGCTTTTAGACCAGACTTCCTCAATTGCTCAAAGACCCATGAGACCCCTTTCCAATGATGGGAAGTGACACAAGAATTCAGTACCTACAATTATTACATTATTTTAAATTGGCATACAACACAAACAGAATATTTCAGTGGACAACAAACAGTGACCCTCTTACAGAATTGAATACTACTATATCAGGTTGAAGGGTGGGATCCCAGCTCTTGGAACGCATATTCTTAATATTTTTAGAATGCTTCTCCTTCAGGCGCTCTATAATGCTCATCAGCTCCCTCACCATTCCGGCTTGGCCAAGAGTAACAGCTATACTATGGTAAGCAGCCATGTCTGGATAGATGTGGAAATCCCCCTATGGCACTTAAATTGAAGATCTCATCGAATTACGATAAAAAATTTGAAATGATTCTTAAGAACTGTCAAGTAATAATTTTAAATATTCTCATTACACGCATTTGCTCGAAGATTCGGAGAGCATCATGTGGTTTTCTTGCCTTCCCAAGAACTGCAAGAAGCTTGGTGTACACAAACCTTTGACACAGGCGAAAGAAGAACAAAAGTATAGCTTAGAACTTAGAAATCCCAAAGTCAATGACTCATATTCTATCATTTAGCTCGTCATTAACTGTACTATATCTTAAATATATGCTTAATGGAAATACAAGCAAAAAAATTCACCATAAATAACCACTAAACAATTCATCAAAAACCCCAAGAATGAAAACAAATCACATAATATACCTGCTTTTGAAATGTTTATGCTCATTTCTGCTATATACCCATCCCACAACCTCAATGGCCTGCCTCCAACATCCCCGGTCGCCGAGCCGGCCAAGAAGCTTAAGCAACTGATCTTCAGTAAACTGCAGCCGTGACTGTTTCATCATCCTTGTAAACTTCCAATCCTTCATTGTTATCTCACGAGCACTAAGCCTACACCACCAATTCATTAGCCAAATTACAGAAATATAAAACAAACAAATTCATAAACCCTGATTAGAATTGAGAGTTTCACCTATTAACAAGGATTTTAATAGCTTCAGCTTCAGAAACTCGACGTTGAGCAAATGTCCCACTTAAATTATCACCCTCAATCATACCCTCTTCCAATTCAACGTCATCATCCAAAAATGAAGACAAATCTTCAACCCTTCTCTCTTCAAAAATCAAACCCAATTCCCTTAAATGCTCAAACTTCAATTTCCCACCAAAATTCGATTCTCTTTCTTCATACCCACTTGCCAATTCCCTTAATTTTTCTCTCTCCAAAGATTCCCATGGCTTTCCCACCAAATTCGAGCTCTGGGATTTTGAATTAATGGCTTTGTTAAAATTTCTATATTCCTGGGAAATGGTTTCGAAGTAAGCTTCATGAGATAAAGTTTCTTTCTGGGATTGAGAGAGGGGTTCGTCAGGGGATTGAGAAGCAAGACGATTGGATTTGCGGAGGGATTTTTGGCGGTGTTTTTTGCGGAGGGTGTGGATGATTTTAGGAGTTGGCTGAACTCCTTTTTTGAGAAGTCTTTGTTTGATTTGTTCGGTTAGTGGGTCGACGGAATTACAGCTTGGAAGGGCCGGAGATCCGGCGAAAACCTCCATTGGTGATGAATTTTGGATGAGGAGTTCAAAAGAGTGGCACGTATCAAGGGGTTTGGGGGAGGTTTTGTGATTTTATCTAAAAAGACTATCGATATGAAACACGTAATTAGTCCATTTCTACCAGACTCGTCAAAAATTGACTTATTAACCGAACATCTAATCCAATTAACATGATCTTTAAAAAAAAGGTCGGATTATTACTGAATCAAATCATTAACACATTTTTGTACATAAGAGAAATTAACATAGACAAAAGACTTAGCTAAATTACCTATATCAACATTAACTTAATGAAAACTAATCTTAGAGAAGTGAATAAATTGTTTATCATAACCAAACAAAAATGAAATTCGAACTTATAATATCGAGTTAATCCAACTCTAATTAAAATCGTTAAAAATTATATTCAATTCTGGCTTATATTATTATTGTTATTACAATTAATAAATTGTTGTGTTATGGACTTATGGTATCAATCATTTTGTTATATTTACATCAATTATTTTTCTCTTCTTAAAAACATGTCCAAATAAATACTCGTATGTTTGTTGAGATTTGGACATCAAAGAAATATAACAAAATAAATATTTGCATAAAAATTGTCATTAAAAATTTAAAATTGATTTTTCCTTTCACCGTTATTTCAACTACTTTTTATATGTTAGCTAAAAAAAGTATAAAAAGAAGCCAAAGAATTGCTAAAAACTTCATTTAAAACTTTCCGAAGACCAATCCACTTCAATGCTACAATTCTACAAATTCTTTTGTTAGGTTTTTGGAATTCGATGTCCTGGCAAAATCCAAGTTTTAGTACTCAACGTTTATCTTGCTCCATCGGAATAATTCTCCAAGGCAAGAAGATTTTGTTCCATTCATTGTCACCGGGATATCAAAGTTTCATTTATCCGCATGCCTTTTAGAGTAGGGTTAATAGAGAATTTAAAAGGTACAAAGTATATCATTGAAAATTTCCAAATATGTTACTTTTGGTCAGTGGTGTTCCTCTTTTATGGTAAACGCCAGTTGTATTGATACGTACCAAAACAAGTCACAGCAGATTAGAACTTTGCAGGAGAGGCAATAAAAATTCAACAATGAGCATTTTTGTTGGGAGAAGAGTGAAAAATTTTCAACTGAATTAAATGTTCCTGTCAATGAATGTACAACCAAGCAAATAACATAGGAATCAGATTAAAACCACATACTTACACCCGAGGTATGCCCATCCACTAGGTTACACCCCGGAGCTGACTAGCAAGTAAGCCAAAAGAGTTGCACAATCCAACAAGCTTACTTCATCATCCTCCGGGTTCCAAGAATCTTCGTCATGATGTTATACAGATGTGGCAGTACCACATTTTTATTATACATATATACTGAGGCATAGTCCTCATTTGCAACCAAACAAAAACAAGGTAGGATGCATACCAATGGGTCCATAAAGTTCTATTCCTATTCTTCCTAATTTCCTATTCCATAGAATGATTAGGTACAGATCCAAAACAAGGTACGAATTAAAGCATAGTATGAACCAAAATCAATTTGAAAACAGCCTATACCAAATCCAAACTGACACGAACAACCTGATAGAATAACCTACCAAAGGAAGATACAAGCACAAGCACACATTTCTACAAACTTCCTAAAAATCAGCCACGTTTCTCATGCAGTGAACTCTGCAGCAAGATGACAGATGAAAGAGACAGACAGGAAAACACGCCAGAAATCCTCTCATTCATAAACAAACCCTGATTTACACCCACTATAAAGCTATATATAAGGGATATCGACACAGCCATGTCAAAGTTCAATAATTTCACTAATAAACAAGGTTTAATAAAAACTTCAACACAAGAATATGGAGGATAAGCCTTCTATTTAGCTCTTCGATTTAGAGTGCTTCACAAGCCAGTCAATAACTGCATCAATGTTTGTTGAGTTCTTGCAGGAGATCATAAAACAGCATACCTCTCTATCTGTAATTGACTTGAGCTCCCTGCACAAGAAATTTTTTTAAGCGCCGATACATTGATCTCAAAAAAATTTACACTACAGGTTACTCATACAAGACTAAAAAAAACATGTACACGAACCATTCAAGTACATTAGAGAAAAGTCTAGTTAGTGCGAAGTACAGAAAAAAGGACTAACATTTGTTCCATAAAGTCTTCTTTTGAGATAGCTCCAGGCTTGTCTGTTTTGTTTCCAAGCACCAGGAGAGGGATGCCACTCAATGAAGTTTTGCTTAGCAGATCATGAAGCTCACTTCTTGATATGCCTAAGTTATCATGGTCAGCAGCATCAACAACGTAACTGCAACAGATATAGATTCACCCATTATCAAGAAAATAATGAAAATCATAATTTCAAGAATCAAACAAGGAGCTCAATTCGCAGCTTAGAATGGAGAGTAATAAAACAAAAAAAGACAGGACATGACGGCAAAACTAAATCTAATCCTGTTACTGTAAATTATATAATCCAGCAAAATTAACAACTGGTTCATGCAGATGTATGCATAACACAAGACAGTCAGAAGGAGAAGCACACATGAAGATATACTCGTGATATAAGTCATATAACTAATACATACAGAAATGGTAGGACACAAACAATTTGGAAGGAAGACTAGGAGGATAGCAGCAAAGGAATACTGAATCTAGCTAGAACTAAGGAGTTAGGACTCCAAGGATGCTTTGAAAATCTTCAAAACGGTTGGTTTGTTGGCATATATCATGGACAATATCATCAGATCCACAGTCTGAATATTAGTACAACATAATGCATTATTGCACCTAAGATAACTAGATGACCCCATCTAGTTGTTTAGGGTTCTAAGGACCAATATAACCTTGTCTTCGTAAAGATTAAACACCTAATCAGTCCAACAAGGAATCATAACTACAAATTTTGAGCATTCCAAACTTGATCACATATTAGGGTTCACTGCTCCCTAGCTTCACGACATTTCAAAGTACAATAGAACATTGAGCAAACCTAGTGATGAAAGGCCAAGCAGAGAAATCAAAGCACATAATCCAGAAGAAACAACAGAGCAATATATAAAAAGAGAGGAAAAAGAAAAGGGCTCATACACAATAGCGGAGACAGCACGGCAGTATCTCTCCCACATACTACGAAACCTTGGTTGACCTCCAATATCCCACAACTTTATTGTAACATTCCCTTTGGTAACCTTCTTCATATTGAAACCAACCTGGCAATCAAATCCAAACAAGAAGATTTTTATAATTGCATCTTTTTCACATCTTCCTTTATACAGAAACAGAAAATAACATAGAAGAATCAAGAGATGACTTGGAGAATAGAATTTTAAGGCAATAAAACCCTTACAGTTGGGATCATATCTTCACTATATCCTCCAGTTGCCACAACATTAACAAGAGAGGTCTTTCCTGCATTCTGAAGTCCAATCAAAGACAGCTCCATTTCCTGCTTGAAAAAAAGGCTACAAGAAGATATGGGAGAAAAATAAGGTAAGTTCGTAATTAAAAAGGAATGCAAATGAAAAAGAAAAAAAAAAATACTTGTATAAGCCATCGCAATTAATGTCATAAACTCATAATAATGATATGATAAAGACGAAAAGATTAAAATTGCATACGTTAGAAAGAATCATAGGAGTATTTACCATACTAAACAGATTATCTACAGACAATTTGAGCCAGCGCATTGACAAATTAGTACATGGTTTTCCACAGTAGCAGTTGAACAAAAAATAACACATACCGAAGCATGGGAAATAAAAGACTGACTGCATTTGTAAAAACCCTAGTTATAATCTCAGTAGAGATCATTAAAAAAAAAAAAAAAACAAAGTATAAAGTGGAGCAGATGTTGCAAGATGGAATTATTCCCATCACGACAGCAGAAAAAGATTATTTCCAAACGAAAACCAACAAAAACCAACATAATCGAAAACTTTTCCTATACTTATAGTTAGTATGAGACTATAAGGTGTCATATCTAGAGCTTTACAAATCAGCCAAAAAAACCTTTTACAGTGGAATCACCTCAAGATTGAAATGTTAGCTCAGTGTTTGGGTTAACCCCAATTTGTTTTTGATATTCTCACTTCGAGTAAAAAGGAAGGCAAATCAGAAAAACACTTAGGGGGCATTTGGTTAGTGTAATTTTTGGATTGGAAACATATTCGAATAAACCGATACCGTTATCGTGTATCTGGTTTGAGGCATGGTAACAATTACCCCTCATTTGTTACCTCTCAAAAACTTGGGGTAACAAATACCCTTACCCTCCTCTTAACAAATACCCCCCCCTCTCTTATTTGTTTCCTTTCCACTCCGAATCCAAAAAAAAAGCCATTAAAAATAATATTGTAACGTATGATGGACTTGCTTATAACAATGATTGACATAGAAATTAATGAAATCTACAGAAAGATCACAGGATTTCTTGCCATACTAAAAGTACCTATGTTAGCAAGGACCATAAAAGTACTTGGCTACTTGCCATAATAAATAGAGAATCGGAAGGAAATTCTCTTTTAAGCTGCAGATCACGGAGAATTGACATACTAGAACTATAAAACAGGTGATTTTCCAGAGGAATAGTTGAACAAATCAACATGTTAATGAGTCTATATATAATATATATTGCAAAGGTTGCAAAGCTTGTAAAGCTTGTAAACTATTCTCATCTTGACAATAAAAGAAGACAGTTATTTCAACACAAACACAATCAAAGTAGTCGAATATTCTTCGTGTTAGTATGAATATCTAGAGCTTTACAAACCAAACAAACAAAACGTTTTCTAGGGGAACTATCTCACAGTTTGAATTTTTGCAGGTTTAGTATCATTTAAATTCAAATCAATTATTAAAAATAATACCTAAAAACCTAATTAGAAAATTCCGACAATATAATAGAAGCTTTCATTTTACTACCAGGAATTATTCTCCAACAGAAAGACTAATACTTGCAATTCGAAAGGCAAAAGTAAGTTCATACTCAAAAGGAATGCAAATGTAAAAAAAAAAAAAAAAATACTATAACAAGCAATCAAAAACAACTCCATAATGAATGAAGGTTCGCTTATAACATACATTTAATACAGAAAAACAAAATAACACAAGTCGTCCTTGAAACAAAGTGCATGTAGGTTACACAACTAAAATCGCCTACGTTGGCATTATGGCAAGGATCATACAAGCACTTGCCATACTAATTAGATCATCTAAAACCAATTCGAGCACAGCGAATTGACAAACTAGTACCGACAGACATGGTGATCATGAAAAGGACAATGCGCACATGATTATACATAATAGTAGTTGAACAAACACAGCACATAAATGATACAGCAGCATGGGGCATAAGAGGCAGTACACAATCATACATTGATAAAATAAACCCTAGATATATACTCTTTTGTGATTATTAAAAACAATAAAAACAAAGTATGATTGTGTAGCAGATGATGCAAAGCTTGTAATTATTCTCAATTCACCAACACCAAAAGACAAAAAACATTATTTCAATTATATTAAATTTTAATAAAATCAATTACATAAAACTTCTCAAAAATATCAATTTCATTAAAATCATAGCATCAAGTATCAAAACAAATGAAAAACATATAATCAGTTGCTGCGATGTGTGTAGGCCTTAAAAAATCATGCAAAAACAACATTTTGTAGTGGAATTACCTCAAATTTTGTATTTTGACCGCGATTCTTCCAGTTCAGTTTCATAAAAATCATTAATTATCCATCAATTATATGTCATTTAAATTCGAATTGATTAACCAAAACAATCACCTAAAACCTAATTTAAAAACTGACAATTCAAAGTGAAAATTTCAATCCGCTACCAGAAATTAATCTCTAAAGTTCAAAATTCAGACCATTTCACCAAATTCTGGTGAAAATAAAACACTAAAATGAAATCGAAATTGAGCACAAATGAAAAAAAAAAGAACAAGAAAACAGAAAAAGAAGATGAAAAAGTAGGAGAGAGAAACAAACCTTCGAAGCCAATTAAGAAAAGCTTCCCAGATACCCATGGCTAGGGAAGAAGAAAGTTAGAGAGAGAAAGAAGAGAGAGAGATCTACGAGGATATACTCTCACACAAACTCTCTCTCACTCGCTCTTTCTTTTCTTTTGACCTTGAAATGAAATTGAAAAAAACAAAAAAAGAAATTTCACAATTTATATTAAATTATTTTTATTAGAGAATATAGGTGGAGAGATATTAGTGGGTAAAGTGGGGCAGTAATTAATTTATCTATTTTAATAAAAAAGTGTGGGCCCATGCTATGATTTGGGGTTCAAATTACACGCACTCGTATTATACGTGCTTTGCATTTGTGGACCAATCATACAGGGTGTCATTTAAATGTTACTCGCTGTTTTGTTGCGTGAAATTCACGCTCGTTGTTTTGGTTGGGTTGAAAGTGATACGCGTCGTTTAAGAGAGTGGAGTTATATAGCGGCGTGACCGGCGTCCACATGTCTGACAGAGTTTGCTTATCTGGCAGTAAGTGTTAGTATTAGCTTAGTCGGCTTCCAGAAGAATCTTCTATTTTTCTTCTAATGGGCTATGATCTGGTCTTGTTGGGCTTTTAAAGGAAATTTAATTAAAACTGTCTAGCCCGGAAATTTTCTTCTGCCAGCCCATCCAAAATACTCGGGCTTTTTCATACGGGCCTCATGCTGATCAACTTTGCTAATGCAGTTTTAGCATTATACCTTTTACTTTCTCCGTTTTTATTTAGACCGTGTTCTATTCACCTGATTTTCATTTATGTTAAATTAACTGAACTCATTACACCTTATTAAAATTAATTATAGTTGTTTCCTCTAAAAAAAAAAATTAATTATAGCTGTAATTTTTACATTGATAACTCAATTAGTTTAAACTTATTACATCTTAAATAATTGAAAATGAGGTGAACACAACATGTCTGTGGCACACATTTAAACAAGATAAGGGACTAAGTAAAAGAGTAAATTAACTGAGATAATTTTGCCACCTATTAGAAGATGGTGTTAACTTATTTTGATATTAATTTAATATGTCCATTTACATTTTTTTATCACCTTATCTAATAGCGTGTCTATAAAGCGTGTTATATACGAAGTATATAAATACAGAAAAAACTATAGAATTATATACCGCAATTTGTGACCTTATCTAATGTTGAGTAGGTAAATGTCAGTGCTTCAATTGGATCTTAAATTTAATCAAACAAATAATGATTGATTGATTGGTCTTTAACTCTTGAAATTATAGTTATTTTGTTTTATGGTTTTCACCACAATTCAACAAAGTGAAAGAAAACTAGAAAAGTAGCACGCTATCCTCATTTGGTGGAGATGCTAAGAAGTGAAAACAAATACCCATAAAAGTGATCAAAGTCAACCAAAATAAAAGCCTTTCTTAGAGGAGAGCAAAAGTTAATAACTAGTAAGAAAAGAAGCCGCCACAAACTAACGCATCCATATATATTATCACAGTATCACTATAATTTTGCCACAAGCATAAATTTAATGAAGCTGACCTCGAACCTTCATCTGATAATACTCTATCTGTTTCAAATTATGTGAACATTTGACTCTTTAACTTAAAACTTTATAATTGTTTCATCTAAAAAGTCTCAAGGGTAAATAATGAAGATGATCCCAAATTTTTTCTTTTCTCTTGGATACCATTACCACCACAAAGAATTAACCAAATAAGACTACTTAATAAATGTTGATTAAGGGGGAAGAGGGGGTTTAATATGATTCGTTACTGACCCCATAATTTATACCTCTCTTGAGAAACCCTTCCTTCCCCAAAACCAGGGTCACAAGCTATTCTTACCTGACTAAGCAAGTTACACTCTGAATCTCCCTTACTCTCCTCTTTCCTTTTTCTCTCATCGATTTCTCATGACAATTCACAAACTAAACCTCTTTTCATCATCACTTGATTTCAGACAACTACTCTCCAACAATACACGGGGAGTTTACCTTTTCATTTATGTCAAATGTCCAAATCCAAATTAACCCATCACCATAATCATCAAATTAATCCTTTCATCACTTTCTTCTCTCTTTTCTTGCTCTCTTCTTCCATTCTTTCCTCCAATCTCCCCTTCGCTTTCGCCTCGCCTTCATCATTGTCAGATTCTAACATTCATAGGCGTGATCCATTGCAGCATTTTGAGTTCTATCATGGAGGTTACAATCTTCAAAGCAAACATTACTGGGCTGTAAGTTTTTAAGTTTCTATTCTTTTGTTCTAATTCTTTATAATCCCCTGTTTTAAGTCGTGTTAACAATGATACTCTGTTTTTCAGTCGGCTGTTTTTACGGGAGTTCATGGGTATGCAATGGCGGGAGTGTGGATGTTATGTGGATTAGGATTTGGGATTTTCTTGATTATCAAGAACTATTATTGGAGCAGCAATAATCAATTTTCTTCGGCTAATCAATCAAAATATTCGAAATTTTCATATTATTTGGTGTTCTTCCTGCTGCTATTTTTCACGCTCCTTGCCATGTAAGTGCTTCAATTTTCAATGCTACATTATTTTGTGATTTGTTAAATGCATGATATTCGGAAATCATCGCTAGTGTCACCGTCTTATACTAGTGAGTAACTAAAAATTGGATTGTTTTAGGAGTATGTAACTAACTAAAAACAAAGGACTGTGACGTACACGTAACACGTATAGTCTCTCCGTTTTTTTAGTTGTTCCATTTTTCTTATCAAGTGGCTTTATATCACAAAAGGGTTGTTTTTGTTCGTCTCTATCTCTTATTCTTTACTGTTAAAGTTTGTCTCAATTTTTCTCTTAGTTGTTAGCTTATCATACGGAATTAATCGTGATAAACCATCTTTGTCGCACTAGGCTATCACCCTTAATTGTAAATCGTTCACAAGGTCACTAGTAAATAACCAAGGCTTGTCTGTACTTAAAACACATACGTATAACACTATAGTATTTTGGGAATTTTAATGGTTTGTACATGTGCATTTGAATTTAGAGTTTGTACACATTAAGTACCAAATAAAGGTGCATATGATTTAAGTATGTTGCGCTAATATTCTCATTGTTGCCTTGACAATAATGAAGGATTGCCACAGGATTCGTGATAGCAGAAAACCAGAAAAGTCTTCATACAACAAAGAAACTGAAAGAAACAATTCTAGGGGCAGGCAATGAGGCACGCAGAACAATTCACAAAATAAACAAAGTAATGACCAACATAAAAGCCCTCCTAACTCCATATGATCAAGAAACTTGCATTCTATTAGACGCCACAAGTCTACAACTCGGAAATGAATCTCACAACATCAAAAAATTTATCCAAAAGAACGAACATTCCATTGATCAAGCTACTTGGGCTCTGTAAGTATTACATTAACTTATTGGGTAATTTGATCAATCTCACTTAGATGGTATATTGTACTACTTCCTCCGTTCTTTATTACTTGACCCGCTTTGACTTTTACACTATTCACTACCCCTTCTTTGACTGTCTTTTGTGAATAATATGTAAGAAAAAATATATTCATGTATGATTTTTTGGATTCGTCTCAATAAGTACTATCATAATATATAATTTTTACTTATGGAGAATTTAAGTTATTGATCGTTAAAGTTTTGTATTGACAAACGTGATAAAAGAAACAAGTCATGTAAAAAAGAACAGAAAAAGTATTAATGTGTATTATATATATATACGCATTATCTAAATGTCTTTCTAACAGCACTTTATCTGATTTACCCTCTACTTGTCCTTTATACTTAGGTACATAACAAACCTTGTAGTTGTGACCGTTAACTTGTTATTTTTGGTTGCTAGTGTAGGTGAGGTTTTCTCCTTCATTTTTTGTATTTCTTCCTTTTGATTACTGCTCGTGTTGTTTGATATACTAAAGATAATTCTTGTTTTAATACAGTTTTGATCTTGTTACACTGGCACCCAAGATTCTTCATGTAAGTATTAGCTTGTAAACCGAACTTGATATCAATTTGATATATTCATATATATATTAAGCTGATCAATGTTATTTTTCATTGGCAGTCTGATATTCTTTTGCTGGATATTAACAATGGCATGTTGGTTTTTGACTGGCATAGATTTCTTTTTTCACAAGTGAGTATAATAAGCTCGTGACATACTTTAATTTTCTAGTACTTTCACTTTGATTAATGTCATCAATTTATTATGTAAACTTTGAGTTTTGTTGTTCGTTGTTTCCACCATCATTGTGTTAATATTGCAGTTTTGCAGAAGATACGTGCACAGCACTTGAAGATTTCAAAGACAACCCTGTGAATAGCAGCTTAAGCTCATTACTGCCTTGTGCAAACGCGTTAAAATCACAAACTGTCATCACCGTACTTGGCCAAACTGTCCATGATTTTATAACACAGGTATACATATTATTATACGCCTAATGTTAACACAGTCTATTGTTGCGATATAGTAGTCATTTGGTTAGACGTATGTACAATAATGTATCAATTTTTCAGCTTGATTGTTATAAAATACGAAGTAATGTACATTGTAATATGAAAATGCAGTTGAATCTAAACATGAAAATAATGCCCAAGGAGCTTGGATTAGATGAATTGCATTATGAAAATGCTTTTGGAGATAGGAAAATTTGTGATCCTTTTGCTGGTCCACCTGATTACAAGTATCTAGCTGGTAAATGCCCCAAGCATGCCATTCCAATTCGCGAATTACCTGGTGTAAGTAAACTAATTAAAATCTGTTCTTATCTAATTTTGGAGTATAATTCAACAAGTATGGAGTTATAATAATTGATGTGAACTCCATTTAAATTTTCATGCAGATTCTTGCTAAATTTACGTGTGACAATGAGTTATCATCCTTGGAGTCGTGTAAAGGCAAGGGGAAATTTCTTCCGAAACCAACTTATTTGATGGCATATGCTTACATTCGATCAATTGAATACTTGACTAATGTTTATCCTGATTTGGAGAACCTTATTCATTGTTCATTTGTCAAAGATCGGATATCCGATGTGGTCATGCACCAATGCAAGCCATTTAAGGTCTCTACATATGGTTTATGGATTTCAATACTCTGTCTTTCAATAAGCATGGTGATTTTGGTGTTACTTTGGGTGGCTAAAGTTTACCAAGGTCACAGAAGAAGCTTCTCAAAGTGTTCCATCATACCAAGATATCAAGAACCCTAAAGGGTTAGCCAAACATTTGAACATAAACATACACTAATACACATTGCATAAGATTAGGCACTTTTTTTTTATTAATTGATTTATTTTATTTATATATTGAGTTATATTCTTCAATAAACTTCTTGTAAACTTGTAAAAAAACATGTATACAATGAAAAATAAGGATCGGAGAAGAGTACAGGGAGAGGGGATAATGGCAAATGTACATATGTAGCTTCGGATACTTAACAAAGTCGAGCAAATTGTTTGAGATTATCCTTTATTTTATTTTATGTCCACCATTGTTGTATAACAAAACTTAACATTATGTGATCTTCATTAACATGATTATTTAATGGATAACTTGTTCTCATTGACTGAACTGAACTGAACTGAACTGAGCTGAACTGAACTGAAATGAATATTTTATAAAAGAAAGAAATTAGGAGCTGAACTGAACTGAATTTCAACGTATGAGAACAGACCCTAAGAAATGTACCCAAAAACAGCCCAATGTCGAGATGTAGCGGACAGGCCGGACACCACTACACAGCAACTTAACTAAATGTAAGACATGTATTCTGGTAGACATTTATTCTACTTCTCGTACTAATTTTCAATAAAGTATTTCAAGTCATCATAGTGGGGTAATTATGTCATTAAAATTCCAAACTATGGCTTGCCATTCATTAAATTGATAACAATATTACGGAATATTAATTAAGTACGGAGAGATATTAAAACGAGATTTTGAATACATAGAAATGGTCTATTTTACTATTCTAGTGCAACTTCTCACTTGCCAATATCAAAGATCACTTGCCAATTTGCACTATTTATCTATTGAATCAATTTACGTATTTAATTTCTTTATCAAAACTATGATCCCTATTTGGAGAGATCATACATTGTAGGATACTCCATCTTCCTCACACATATTTGGAGAGATCGATGTTATGATGATGTTTTCCATTTGATTCATTTACCATATGATTCATTACTCCATACATTACTATTGTATTATGTACCTCATTTTTGAACTTAATGCGTCTCCCAATGGTATGAACAGTATACTACGTTATATGAATATGTATTTCCTACAAGTATATCTGTATTTAATTTTATTATAAAATTTAGTAAATTTAATAAATTGTCATCAACATCAATAAAAAATTATAATTGCCATATTAATTAGTGTAATATGAACCGATAACAGTACAGAATAGAAAAAGGATGTTGAAGGCAATGCCAGGTTGCCAAGGTACCATTGGATTGGATAAAGAATTATTGTCATTATCTAATTAAAGTGATAACATTTCTCAGCCAAAAATAAAATAAAAAATTATACAAGTATAAAAACTCTATCTAGTACGGACTACTTCATATCCTAGTAACACGTCTCAACGACTACAAAACTACTCCATAGTTAGTTGTCAACATAAATATAGTTGATGAAGTACATGTCAATAATAATAATATATCACTAATTAAGTATCATTAATTAAAAATGTGGACGACCAATAGCTGACTGCCTTACATCCATGTGACCAAGGCAGGAAAACATAATGCAAGTTACCAGGAAGAAATTACTGCTAGTAAATCTGTACTGTATATTTTATCAAATTTCAAATAGCAACAAATTTCTGGAAGGGCTAAGGAGTATCTGGTTCAAATTTCACTAACATTGAGGTTGATACGTATTTCTAAGACAATGTGAGAGTTTAGGGGTTGTTCTCTTACGTTGAAATTCAGTTCAGTTCAGTTCAGCTCCTAATTTCCTTCTCTTATAAAATATTCATTTTAGTTCAGTTCGGTTCAGTTCAGCTAAGTTCAGTCAATGAGAACAGGGCTTAAATCTCGTACATATGTACGTCTTTCTAAACAATAATATGAATTAATTACATAACTTGTGATTGATACAAACTAGACTCGATCCAACTCATAACGAGATCAGCTTGGAAATGAAAGTTAATCGTATTTACTTAATATAAATACTTTAATTTACTTTTATTCTATAACTAGGTTAAACCCCCGTGCAAATGCACGGTTGTTGAATAATTATGATAATAATATAATTATATAAAACAATTAAAACAATTAAAACATGTGAGAGAAAATATTTATAGTTATAATGTGCAAGTTGATATTTTAGGAAGTTTATTTTAATTTTTATATATAAAAAAAAAGTCATAATCTAAATGCAATCTTTATTTTTATATAATAACGATTTTATTTAGAAAGTAATTTTGACGGGAATTTTTTTAATAATATATTGCCAAGTGTTCCTACATATTCGCTTTTAGTAGTATGTAATTGATACCACATCAATACAAATAGTAATCTGATCAACTAGTTTATAAGTTATCTGATCTTATTAACATCCTAACTTAAATCATGAAAAATATCATATATTTTGTACTCGATTATGTAAAGATTTTGATGACAAATAGGATAAATTATCTTTTCCCAATGCTCTCATTAAATTTTAATCTCATCATTCACATAGAATAAAAAATTAGCAATCAAATTACACTAAACTTCCTCAAATTTAACCCAAACCCAAAAGTTGGAGTTGAAAAAAAGTAAAGAGGCAGGGGTAATAAATAAATTGAAAACCCTTGAAGCGGAAGAGAAAGAAAAAAGAAGAGTATAGACTGTTTTCTTTTTCTGGGTTTAAAGTCATAATCAATCATCATACTATACCTGGATTATTAGATCCACCATTACTATTTTGACAACTTAACCTCTCCTCCTCTTTTTCTTCTTCTTCTCACCCTCTTTATTTTCTTTTTATTCTTCACTAACCAACTTAATCTATTTTTCTATACTAAAGTTAATCCAGAATTTTTTTCAAGGGTGACAAAAAAAATAAAGAAAAAGAAATTACTGGAGGTTAGTATCAATTTGAGCCAAGAAATTATGTAAAAATTGAAAATTTTTGAAGATTTGAAGAACCCCATGTCTGCAAATTCTGCTTCATCCAGTGCTCGATTGATGTCTGGTAATTGGTTTGACTTTATTCTCTTGCTCTTAATCATATCTGTTAATTTCCCTGCTTTTTTTTAATTACATTGATTAATTTGTTTAAATGTAATTTCATGAGAATTATTTTTGTGGGGTTTAAGCTTATTAATTGAACATATTGATGGGATTCTGAGCTGGGTTTCTTTAATTGGTCAATGTTCCCATCTATATCTGTACTTTACTAAATTTGTTGTATGATTTAATAATTTCACCTTTCAAGATTGGTTTATATTACGGAATTATGGATAATGTGGTTGATTTAGAAATAATTGATGATTTGGCTGTATATTTTATCATAATGTGATGGATTTACTGACTAGATCAATGATCAATGCCAGTTGCTGATCATTTATTGTAAGCTTCAATCCTGTGAGCTCATCAATTCGTCACACTTTTCTTGTTTGGTGTGTTGTGCCCACTATAACAAAGAACTTTATCTTCATCTAGTAAAGAGCAGCAATAAATTCGGAATTGTTATGTTGATTGTCAAAATGTAGGAATGAGTGAGATTCCACTGATCAGGTTGATTAACTGAACTTGAAAGTTAGATTGAGTAAAAGAATTACAGCTTCGAAATTATCGAGGGGAAGATGAGAATTAGATTTGTTTGTCTTTTTGCTATGGTTAGGAGGATATGAAATGCATTTGGTGTTTCTTGTGCTATTTTTCATGTCCAATGCTGATGTTTTCGCATTGAGAAACAAATCTCTAGAATTTCAAAATTTGTTTAGTGTCATGATTGTTATGTTAGAAAACAGAAATCACTTGTATTCACTTTCATTTATGCTATAATAGAACACTGTGGTAGTGACCTGCTCTTGCATCTGCATCTGCATAGGTTGTATTTTCTTAACTGCAGTATTATCTTCGGGATAATATGGAAGGAAAATTGAGGATGAGGAACAAATACAAGAAACCAACCACTTTGCGTTGCAGTGCAGGGAACAGATGTTCATTACCTGTTGCAGTGGTTAGTGTGGTTGTGTGCCTATTTCTACTGCAGCTTTACACTCTTCTTCCCCAAAAGGATGCCTTTAAATTGGATACACGTATACTCACTGGTAAAAGTTTCCGTGAGCTTGAAGAAGTTGATGAGGAGAACATCCAAGTGCCCCCTCCAAGAAAACGTTCTCCACGTGCTATTAAACGGAAACCCAAGAAGCCTACTACAATTATTGAAGAGTTCCTTGACGAGACGTCTCAAATGCGGCATGTTTTCTTTCCTGACATAAAAACTGCAATTGATCCAAACAAGGGGAATGACAGCTTCTACTATCACCCTGGAAGAATATGGTTAGACACAGAAGGAAATCCTATCCAAGCTCATGGTGGTGGCATTCTGTATGATGATAGATCAGAGACATACTATTGGTATGGGGAGTACAAGGATGGACCAACATATCATGCCCACAAGAAAGGAGCAGCACGAGTAAGTTTTTATTTATGAGAATGTTCTTTTGTATGCATTAGCTTGTAAAATTTAATTAATTTGAGGCGGAAAACTGTTGAAGAAACATGGAGTAATGATTAGAGAAGGTTATTGTGAGATTTGCAATGTAGCAGACCTAACATGATAATAGTCCATAGTGAGAGCATAATGCCAAGATGAGATAAAGGAAGACAAAGGTTAGAGAGGAATGGAGATTGAGTGAACCAAGGACTTTCTATATTATTTCTGTACACCCAGGCATGTCAAATTCATGAGCGTTACTACAATATCTTCATAGAAACTTTAGTTCAACCATCAAGAAAGCTTGTTATTCATGTGGGACTGCTTTTACTGGAGTTTTTAATCACATGATATAAGGTGGTTCATGTCTTTGAAGTGATGGATTTCTCTTATGACTTCACGATCCAAGTGTTCTGGACCAAATAGGTTCCTGCTATATGTTCCAGTCTTGTGTGAACTTAAGTTCAAAATAAGTATCTAGTTTGAGTCGCGTGTATCTCAGTATTGAAAACAGGAAAGCAGTTATTGCCCTATCAAATTTGCTACTTTGATTTTCTCTTTGATCCATATGTTAATAGGTCACACTGTATGTTGTAGATTCTAAAAAAATCTGAGGTGAAGATACTTTGTTGGTAGTAGCTGTATGTCTAGTTGTCCACCCAATTGAGGGTGTTGTTCTAATATATCGTATATGCTTTTCATTGGAGACCCCCCCTTAGTTTTCTTGCAACCATATAGGCACTTACTTCCTCCTTTATCTCTTGAGTCTTGACCCTTTAATTATTGCAGAAAATAACCGTGAAAATTTGCGGCTCTCAACTTCATACTCCTCCATGGCTATTTAAACA